TTGAGTGTTGCTGGTATGGCGAAGGCGTCGGCACGCCGCGACTTCTCGTCCAGCAACGTGGATCGCGTACGGACGCATATGCTCTTCTCGTCGCAGCTGCAGCGTCACTCATCAAAACGCAAGCGACGCACACACAGTAAGTGATTTCACTGCATATATCACGTGGGGACGTCGTGCTCGTCTATCTCAGATGCATTTGTCGTCATTCCGAACAGCAGGGCGCGTCCACAGAAGACGGGTGATGTTTTATGAAGGGAGAGGGAGGGGGAGGGGGAAGGGTACTGGCGTTCGAACAGCAGATGAGGAGGGTATGAACTGCTCAGGGCTAGCACAGAAATAGCCTGAAAATTGCAAATATATTTGGAGAGGATGTTTACTTTTCTTGATGCATAGCTTCCCTATTCTCCGTGAAAAGGCGCCGAACAGCAAGAATACTCCAACTGTCTGGACAGTCGATGTGAGGATCCCATGTTAATGACGTTATCACAGCAGTGCCAAGTGCTTCAATCCTAAGCTGCAAACCATAATATCCATTGTCTGCTCGGTGTATGTGCACTTTGGAGAGCGTCCGAGTTACCTCCTCGTGAATATCATTCACTGATGTGCTTCGGCCCACGATTGTCAACAGTGTCAGTGATCGCTTTCCCGGTCTGTTATTGCCTTCAGCACTTTACTGAAGAATTGGGCATGGTCTTTCGTCCACGGCATTTTGAGGACGCTTGCTGCAGCCAGTATTTCGTCGCGCAGTGCATATTCACTTTCTAACCATAATGCTGGTAGCTGTCAGCTTCTTACAAGTTAACACAGTCTGTTTGCAGGCTGGCCGTGGGCCTGGCGGCGCTTTGTATCACCCTCGTTTTCGATGTTTATTCTCATTCCTTGTTTAATGCGTTAGCTCCTGCAGCATCTCATGTGTTTCAGGAGCGCAGCTCCCAATGAAGACAGCGAAAGAGTAAGCGGTTTGGGTGCTCACCATTAGTGTTTAAACCTCCGTTACAGTTCAGCCTACCATTTCGAGGCGGGTGGGAAAAAGCTTGGGTAATGTGGCGCCTTCCTATTTCGCGCCCACTTGATCGATATTACGGACTGGTGCTGAAGAAGCTGCTGAATAGCCTGTATTCGCCTGCTTCATAATCTCCACTTCTCAAAAATCTCTTTATCCACAAAAGTACGTGATGCTGTGTTTAGCTGTATGCTGTAAAATGTTTTTTCGCATTCGACGAATAGGAAGCAGAGTGAGACTTCTGCTTTTCTTCGGAAGGTTATGCACTGAGCCTTGCTGGCGACCGTAGGATGAGTTTGCTATCTGATGGCACTGATTACGTATGTTGCGATGTCAGCGAACAGCGTTGTGTGGAATTTTTTACATGTGTTCCTTTGTCTCGTCGGACGGTGTTCGTTTCATCTTTAAATAGCGTAACTGTTGGGTGCTTTAAAAATTCCTCTATCCTGCATTCCATCAGACCGTTTTTGTGATGAATCGGTGCTACTTCCATCTTACGAAAGCTGCGATTGTTGGTTCTGAGTGGGCCCGTTCCCAGCTTCTTTTAGAAGTGCTTGCAGAAGAGAGAGCACTCCATGATTTTGGTTTTATCCTTTTTCATGTTTCTTCTCTCTGGTAATGCTTCCGCGGATCTTCGAATCCGGCCATCGGGTTCGAACGCACTGAGCTGGTTTTGCATACGGAGAAAAGTTGTCAACAGGGCATCTGTTATTTCAATATTTTACGGATAGTTGCCGTACTTTCAGATAAACTGCATCAGCTGATGCACCGGAAAGATGAGATGGTTCAGACGGGGCCTGCTGAGTTGGAGCCTTCACTCTGGTCTGGCAATCAGCGAGTGCTTCATTTCGGCCCGATGGCACAGAGAGATCCATTCTTTTACTACTATCCGAAAGGATGGGACGTGCTTTACCCAGCACATTTTGGCTTCTTCCCCTATCGTGCAACGTATGCCACGCTCAGATATTGCCTGCAGCTCATGAGCACTCAGTTACTCACTCGTGCCGCCTTGTTGTGCTGAATAATTCTCGTGCGTCTTTTGTGATTTTCAAATCGCAAATAACCTTCCTTCAAAAAACTGTTCCGTTCCAAAAGCTGTTTTCTACGCCACGCACAAATTTGCGGGTGCGGGAAGCAGGCTGTCTGCACAGCGAGCTATATTACTGCAAGGGCCGTAAGTAAGCGCGAAAGGAGCAGCTTTAGCTTATTGCTCACTTTCTGCGTCCACTATTTGCAGTGCTTTACTAAAAAGCTCCGTGCCTGGGAATATGCGAGTAGGTAGATGCGTTTTGAAGGCATTTGAGAAACGATGTTTTGCAGTTGGCAGTTTTTGCATTCTTCTGCTTCACCTTCTGGAAGCTTTTGAGAGCGAACCTTTGGAGATGCGTAATAATGATGAGGAATTGAAGCATGGGGCAGGGAGGTAGACTCCGTGTTTATGTCTAACGGCAAGGCTGCGTTTGCTTTAGATTGACAAAATTTAATGTTTATATCCAGCGGATTTCACTGTTGTCAAACGGAGATTTTGTGGGTTCATAAGCGAGTTATTCGTGTTATTTGACAAACTGGCTGTTACTAGTTCTCGTTCGTTTTTGGCAAATTGTTACCGGCTCTCTTTGAGGAAGTAAATTGTTTCGGTCAGGTAGTCAACGTGTTTTTTGATTTTCGCGAGGGTGATGAATTTCTGACTCGTCCCATTCCGTTGGACTTGTCCTGGCTTATCTAAATTTCTAGCTGCTAAATGCATGCTCTTTATTTGTAGCACATTCTGTGTCGGCTTTTGCCAGTTAAGCGCTGTTGGGGCAATTTGCTTTGCCGTTCTGAGACTAATTGGCACTGTTGTAACAGTTCCATTGCTGTGTGACTTAGGAGTGCTGCAGTATAGTTTTACGGACTAATGATGGCTTGCAATGCTTTGCGAGCTCTCTGTAACATTGGTATTCAAATGTGTGCTCTCCCTTTGACGAAGCATGGTGTGTTCTGCCTTCCATAACACAGTGTCGATTTTTGTCAGTTTTATCTTCAACGATTTTTCTTTTCTTTGTATTTCATGCAAATGCAAAAATGCATATTGATAAGAGGTTGTATGTGTGGTATGTGTACGTGTGGTATTTGTGGACGTGGTGTGGTGGGTATGGTGTGTGTGGGTGCGATGGGTGCGGAGTGTGTGGGTACGGTGTGTGGTGTGTGTGGGTGTGGTGCATGTGAGTGTGGTGTGTGTGGATGTGGCGTGTATGAGTGTGGGGTGGGTGTGGTGTGTGTGTGTGCAGGTGTGGTGTGTGTGCAGGTGTGGTGTGTGTGCAGGTGTGGTGTGCGTGCAGGTGTGGTGTGTGTGGTGTAGGTGTGGTGTGTGTGGGTGTGTAGTGTATGTGGCGCATGTGTATATGTAAGTATTCTGAAGCGAGTGAAATTCGTCGCTCGTTTTCATTTCAGCGAAAAGTTAGAGAGTTGAAATTTTAAAGGTATTCCTACACTGTGTGGCACTCTCCCGTTATAAAATCTGCCTTCACTAGGTCTCAGATACGGGCGCTTGAAAGAATAAATAGCAACGCGCACCAGACTAGCCGGTGCGATCATGCGTTTTGTGCAATTCAGCCCA